TTCCCTGCTTGTCCCTAGCAAGGTGCGCTCCCCTGGAGCCCAGCCAGCCTTGTGTAGGAGCCGGGCTCTCCCTGCTGCTTACAGCAAATAGGTTCCTGTTTGGCTGCAAAGCTCAGAGTCCAGCCCCGGGGCTGTTTGCTCTTAACTCATTGATGGCAGCACAGCAAAGGCTGGAGGCCACCGCACAGCCAACACCTTCATGGAAACCCCACATCGGGGATAGCCAGGGGGGTCCTGCGTGGAGATGTCATCCAACAGCACCCAAGGAATGGTCTCTTAGTGGTTAAAGCCAGCCTTGAGTTGCTGCACACCATAGATGTGTGCTGCACCATAGAAACCCCTTAGTTTCTGTGCTGGAAGCTGGTAATGGGATGGGACAACAGCATTCCTACAGCCTCAGAAGTTTGGGCAGATTTATTACCTTCTAGTGGCAGCAAATGAGCACGTTATTCAGCTATTTCTCATTAGAACGTTATAAACCTGAGCTGGAGCTCTCACGTCATTGAGTGTCCTTCATTTTGTTCTGGAAAATAAAGTGGGATGTTAGAGCAATGTAGATCGCTTCTTCCCAAAGGAAAGAAGCGTTGCTAATCCCAAGCAATCAAATGAAGTCAAAATAATTTGGCTGGCTTCACAACAGCAAATAGAGGGATCTTTGTTTCCCTTAATGTTAAGCAATTACAGCTCAGTTGTGGTTCACAAAAACTACAAAGAATAGAACTTCAACTTGCAATAAAGCACCCTAAACCCCTGAAAAACTCCCACAGCTGCACTGCTCCAGGAGCTGCAGCCTATGAAATCACAGCCAAGGACTCACCTTCATGGTGAACTAATGAAAGTTCTCATTGGGAAATAAACCCAAACAAAGAACAAAGAACAGCAGCAACAAAAGAAACTCTCTCATGCCACAAGCCAGGGAACCTGCGTCATCCTCACTTCCCCATTCCTCCACAGCTATTAGGAGAAACATGAGAGACTTGGAATAGGCCTTAACTGGCAGCTCCTGTAGCAGCGTTTGGGTGAGACTTTGAAGGCCAGAGGAGTTTGATTCCCTCTGTTCACCCTCGGGGTGAGGCTCTTCACTGTGGTCTGAAGATCAAAGTGAGATGTTAGTTCTAGACCCACATCTCTCCCAGAGCAGAAGCCCTGAACCTTCAGAGCTGGGAAAGTCTCCGGTCTCATGCTGCAATCGTGCTAATTGCACTACAGTCAGCCTGCACTGACACAGCCAAAGGAACTGCTCCAGGCAGGGTGAGTGCAATCCTACCGCTATCCGTTAAAGAGCTGGCTATTGCTATTCCCCATCTGTATCAGGAGTGATGGAGAACACAGCCCTGCCCTGGCTCTGTACCATGGGTCTGATGCTTTCTTCTTGTAGAGAAAGGGCTGTTACACCAGTTTGACGGCAAAGGGCTTTCAACCTACCACAGAACCTGTATTTGGTATAGCTTTAAACTGCCTCCATCCAGCCTGGTGTGCAGAAGAGGGAGAGCTACTTCCTACAGTAGCAAGTAAAATCAAAGGAGTATGTGTGTGTGGTTGGAGAAGAGGAATTCGTGTCGTGTAGGCTTAACACAGCATGAAAGTCAAAGGCAGAGGACAGGATGGGGCTGTAGATAAGCAGGTACAGGAGCACATTTCTAACCCTGCATGCAGGTATTCAAGCCTTCCTTAAGCTGGGCTCCTTCGGCAGCCATGCACGGTAACACCATCCCCTCTAGAGGAAGGAAGGAGAAGTGAGGCTCTTCCCCGGCAGCATCCCTCTGAGCACAGGTTCCAAAAGGAGCCGGTAGATGCCCCAGTCCTTCATCACAACCAGTGCAAAGTTTGCACTGGGACTGATCCGGAGGAGCTTCATCCCAAGGAACACATCCTGCAGAACCCAGACTGTTAGGAACGCACAAGCAAATGGATAAGAGGGAGCACACTTGGGCAGGGCTTAAAGGGAAAGACAAAACTCAGTTTACAAAGCGTGGAGAGCTGATAGCACTGATTTTCCTGCCTGAGCAGCAGTCATGGACCCTAGTGAGGTACAATACAGCGGTGCTCTTGGCAGCCCTGTAACCAGATTAAGTCTCTCCCACTTGTTCTCAGTGATTACAAGGAGGCTTTTCCTCCAGTGTCTTCAGTGTTTCATTTAACGTTTTCCATTTTTACCCAGTTTAAACGCTGCCGTTGTGGCAGCGCTGGTGAAATTCAGACATAAAGCATCCTTTGGGGATAGAAAACCACAGTGGTTTCATCTATCCTAACCCTAACACCAGCAGAGAAAGCTGCTTTATTTTCCTGCATCTGATGAGATACAGATTCTTGCTGACAGAGCACAAAGAGCTGCAGCCAAGGCAAGCAGGCAACACGCCTTGGCCTCCTTGTGAATGAGTGACTTAACAGACAATGAACGATCACACTGCATGAACATCGGAGCTTTGGGCTCAGCTTCCCAACAGGACAACCCAACCCCAGCTCACCCTCCCCTTCAGTATTCACCCAATGACTGCAATCTGGAGATGGACTTTTGACGAGGGCTCGTAGTGATAGGACAAGGTCTGGTCCAGACTTTGCTTTTTTGCTCAGCTTTTGCTAATGGTGCTCAGCTTGAAATCCAGAACGCACATTACTGCTTTCCATAGTATTCTGTGTATTTCTAGGCCACTGGCCTCCACATGCTGTCAGAACAGAGACCAAAACTTCCCTCCAGAACCAAATGCTGAAAGCTTTACGTCCAACTCACAGAGCAGCCCATAAGGGGGTTGTTATGATGAGAACAGATAGTGTTATCAGTGGAGTGATGCTACCCAAACCAAATTTCTACTTCTTGTGTGTAAACCTCAGTAAAATCACTTCTACGCAGCAAACAGGATTCAGTCCTGCTGACCAAGAACATAATGGAAGATACTTCAAGTTTCCATAAAGCTCAGTGCAATCATCTGGAGTACTCACGTGGCTGCTTGGCTGATGAAGGGAACTGGAATCTGATGCTCAGCACCACCACCAGCTGAACAATCCATCACAGGAATCACTCTTCTTGGAAGGGGAAACTGCTTTAAAAGTGACCTTTTCTCCTGTGCTAAGTGCCTTTGTAGATGAGTAAAGACCTCAGAGCACATAAATCTACTTGCAACTGCTAATTTCTGTATTTTAGTTCGCTTGAAATAAAGGAGGCAACCAATGTTGTCTTAAAACTGTTCCCAACTCAAATAGATCTCAAATCAGCATTTAGAGTATGACATTCGAATGAATATAAAGACGATACACATGGTTTGGGTTCTGCTGCCAACACCATCAGCTTCCTTTCTTTCTATCAGTGAAGAATATGCACAACATCAGGACACACATTTGTGCTGTTATTGTCAGTCACTCTCCTCCAACATGACAATTCCAATACTTTAGTACTTTTTCATTCTGAAGCATCCCAGTTTGAGTTTACTCTGTGCTGCTAACCACAGCAAGAACTAACTTACTTCATTCAACAGGCCACAAAAGCTACAACAACACATGTGGGTTTCAAGTTAACTAAAGTCTCCTGAATAAGGGCTGAACACTGTTGTGCTCTGTTTCTCTTTGCTTTATTATAATGCTCTTTAAAAGCTGACACTGCAGTTCAAGCCTGGTACCACTCTACAGATCAATGAATAGTGTTCACTGAAACGGCCATCCCTGTGAACATCACAAAAACACAGCAGGAAGATTAAAGATACAGCATTCCATACTGACCAAGCTTCCATGGGTGTGACAATGACAGAGGGCTCTGCTAGAGGTCACTAAAGTCACTACAGTCAAACCCTAAGAATGGACATTGAAATGTTGCTTGATTCCTGTTTAAATGCCTGCTCAAACCTTTCTTTCAGTACTGCCAAAGCAAGGTGGGAGCTGAAACACCTCTGTAGGCCACTGTTCTCCAAGAGGACAACTGTATCTTTAAATGTATGCTGGATTCAGCAAGAAAGGTTTTACCTACACTTGTTAAATTATTGCACAGATCATTACACTGATAAGTACATTATGAACCCATGGAATGTTACACAGTCTGGCCTGGAAAAATCAAAGCAGCAGAATCATCCTGGAGGTCCCAACCACAAGGGAGAGCTGGCCAAGGCCTTCTTGAAATGTAGTAATTCTTAACAGGTTTCAAGAGAGAAATGATAAAGTAATCCCTAACTCTTGGGATGAGATTCCTGGTCTGGGGACATTCTCCAAGACCTTCACTGTTTTGCAAGCAGGACTTAGTTCGAATGTCATGAAGTTTCTCTTATACCAGACCACCTGCAGGAATCCAAGTACTCTGTATTTCCCAAAGTTGAAGCCATACTAAGGAATAAACCAGTCTGAAACACCAGGGAATCTAAACCAAACACTGCAATGTCTGATTGTCGCAGTGCTCATTTCACCTACTGCAATTTGCTTGTAGGACTTAACTGGTAAAACACAGTGGAAAGAAGATGGGAGTAAAGTCCACTAAAACAGAGGCTTTACAAACAAAAATGCCTCATTTCACCCTCTCCTTAGGAAGACACAGGAAAGTATTCAGACAGGTCATAAAAAAATATCCATCTGCCTGTGAAACTGAGACCAGCTGGGGTAATAGTTTTGTGGCTGCAGTTATGTTTTATACCATTATACTGGTTTTTACTGTCTCCCAATAAAACCTTTCTGGGTTTTGTAGCATTTTGTTGCCTCTCTACAGCACTGCAAGAAGAGAGACAGCAACTGCTCTGCCCCTGTCTCCTCAACTGGAAGACAAATCATTACCCAAAGCTCCTGCCTGAGTAGCGCTCTGGCTGTTTAGGTTCATTCAGTACATAAAGTTTCAAGAGACACAAAACTAAAACCAGAGAAACCAATGGCTCATGCCAATCACAGCTGCAAGTGATGAAAATCAACCAGTTTCCCCTTAGGCAGGCCACACAGCTGAGGAGAACGCACACAGACACATCACAGTTATTGAATGCTGATTCACTGTTGATTGAATGGGCTGAAATAAAGCTTACCCCGCCACAAGCTATTTCAGGAGGTTTATGAAAGTGTAGTAAAGTCATACACAGGAAGCTGGATCAGCTTCACATCACTCCAGACAGACACCAGCAGTGCAACCCATTGGATAGGTTTTGCCATCACCGCAACACTTCACAAAGACAAACCGTTGGTCAAGGACCAGGCAGTGCCACTTGCCACCCATGTGGCACTTGCTCTGAGCACATGCATTACAGCTTCGGACTGGGCAGCACACAAATGACAAGTAGGCAACAGAGGTGTATGCATCAAAATACAAGGTTACGTTTGACATGCAGTTAAGCTATGACAAAGGTATACTTGGAACTGGAGGAAAAGAAGAACAAAAGCCTTGTTTTCCAAGTCAGGCTGTAAACGTCTGCAATGGTACCCACAAGCAGCATTGTAAACTGAGAGCTCTCACTTCCAAAGGGTCAGCGTGGTGGTGAGAACGTGCCTCGGATGGCTCAGCCTGGAGTAGTGTCTGGGTCCTGCAGAGACCACACTGTCAGGAGAAGCAAGGGGAATAAAGAGACATGCCAAGTCTCACAGGACAGGGCTAGAGAAGACTAGAAAAATACTTTGCTCACCATCTGAAAGATCCTACTAATAGAAATACAGAATGAGGCTATAAATAGAGCTACTCCTACATAGACTGAAGCCTTTAAAATCTGCTACTTTTGAAGCGATTCATAATTTCCCTTCCCTTTAAATCTCTTCACATTACTGTAGGCTCAAAAACATCCAAGAAGAGAAAAAAAGAGATGAAGCAGTATTTAAGGGAACTTTGACAACTTAAGTTGTTTGCTTGAAGAAATTAACTCGTTTTAAGAAAAGGCTTTTTTAGGCATGTATCAAGATCCACAGTAGAGAACTCCATGCTGGTATGAAAGCAGACTATGCAATGACATCATGATTTGAAGTTTCCAAGTGAGCTGCTTGTTTCTGGGCGGAGTGTACATTTACAATCCACCCCAAAAATAAAATGGGATACATAGGACATCTTTGTCCTTACAGTCACAGTTCTTCTGTAGAAGTTATGGTTCGTTTCATGCAAAGCAGTTTGTGGGGTCAAAGCAGAGACATAACTGAATCTTCTATTCCATTCCTTAATGCTGACAAGGAGTTTCTGGAGTTCCCAAAATAGGGTTTCTTTAACAAGATCGAGGAAGAAAATGTGGAGAAATCCAAGACAGAAACTGAGATAGTTTGACATATTAAAGATTCATTTGGAAAACATCTGCTTAACTTAAACTTTACTATCGAAGCCAGACATCTACTCATCTTGAAGGGGCTTGCTGCCAGCCACTCTCCTCAATGTCCTCATATTTTCCATCTCCTTTATATTACTGGAATCTTTTCTATAGATCTGTTTCACTGCCAAGCTGCCAAACAGACATCCAAAAGGCTGTGAGCAGCAGAATGATTTCTATTTTATCTCTTCTGATAAAAATGATGGGTAGAAGGAAGAAAGACAAGAATAAAAACCAGACTATATAAAATAGTCAAACTGGGGGAAAGAGAACACCACAGACTGGCATTTTGTCTGTGTAGAAGAGCTGCACTGCACAAAGTCTTGACCCATGGAGCAAGAAGGGCAGGCAGAGCCACTCTGGATATCCCTTGATAGCTCAGGTCAGAACTATGAGTTTACACAAGGAATTCTCTAGCTCTAGATTCCTTATTAAGGGGAAAAAATAAGATTTAAAAGGCTAAAAAAGAACCCTCAAAGTTTAAAATCAAAGCTGCAATAGAAAATATCTTAATGGCCATCTTGAATTGTCAGACAGCAATTGTCACAGCAATCCGTAAGGCATTTGAAATACATCTATTCAACCGCAGCTTGTTATTTAATGGATATCTTTTCAAGACAAACCCTGTCCTTCCTTTGCACTGAACACCTCAGGTCATCTCAAGTTACACAAGGATTGGATGAACATCTATTAACCTATACATGCAAGGCCGTGCCATGAAGATGCGCTTGCACTGCTTTCTTCCCTTTGAACTGTCATGTTAAGAGAGTCACTGTACCCAGCTTTGACAGTGCAAGGAGGATACAGTCAGCACTAGGCTTAAAAAAGGGAGAGCCACCTTTATGCAATAAAAGATTCAGATGCTACTTCTGTTTTTCTAAACCAGGATAGAAGAAAGGAGAATGAACAGGAAGCACAAAAGTAACAGATCAGTAAAGGTCAACCACAATACTCCAACTGCATGTAAAATCTTCTCCCCTCCATCAGCCAGCACAGCCTCCCTTTGGTAGCTGTGCAAAACAGGGTTAACAGAGTTCACCAGTTCTGGTTATCCCACCCATCACCAGCTGAAGATGCCTTTTTCGTTGCCTTAGGAGGTTTTCTGGTCTTGCTCTCTCCTCCTGAATTTTCCCAGTTGGTTTCCCAGTTTTCCCAACTGTCGCTGTTACTGTTCTTGTTGTTGGAGACTGTTCCTGAGCCCCACACGTCCCAGCTATCGGAGCTCTTCTTCTCTGTGGAATTGTCCACATAGGTCCAGCTCTCACTGCTTGGAGATTTATGAGCTTTTGGTGGATCTGAGTTGCCGAAGGTCTCCCAGAAGCTCTGATCTACAGCACTGTTCTGGTAGCTCTCCCCACCACTGTTCTGGTAGCTGCCTCCCTCCGGGGGTCTGTTATAGGGGAAAGAACACCAAGAAGGTAGAAATAAATCAGTTATGACAACCATAATAAATGATCACAAACAAAGCAAATTATAATGTTCCTGCCCTTTGCTTAAACAAAACTGGAACTAAATATATTGCTCTGAATAGCGCAAGTTTTTATTCTAATTCATACATTTTCAACAGCCTTAGTAAGCCCAAGGTAAAGGGACATGCACAGAACCACCTCTTCCCATGTAAAAATTACCTGCTACTATTATACTGCAAAGAATATATAGGTGATAAAATTACATGTTTAAAGAGAAACTAATAATAATAATTATAATAATAATAATACCTGTCAGCATTATCATCTGGTTTGCCAGAAAAGAAAGTGGTGACATCTCGCCATCCCTTACTCCCAACTCCCTGAACCTAGAGAAGAAAATGGACATTCCATTCATTCAGAGTGAACCAACACCTCTTCCAAGGCCAACAGCAGAAGCCACACCACATTATTCCACTTGTTCAGATAAAGAGAACACATTGCACCAGTAAATTTCACTCACAAGTCACTACTGCTCTTGATGGGCAGTTTTGTGATTGATGTAAAGAACATATATTTGACAGAACTGGGATGCTGGAAGACGTGAGAAGTTGGTCAAGTTCAGCTTTGTCACCCATCACTGTCAATAGCAGTCAACAGAATTCTCTCCTAGACTTCCCTGTCAAAAATGCTGGAATTATTCCACACATAAAATTAAACTTAATGACAGCACCAGTGTTTTGATGTTAAGATTCATGTAACTAGTATGTATATTTCTACTGTGCTACAAAACCATTTTCACCGTTTCAGTGGTATTGTTTCACTGCCCATGTAAAATAGGCCAAAAACTGAGCTCTAGAATAAACATGACTTATTGTATTGAAATATTTCCAACATTTAAGGCAGTAAGACAGAGCTTCCAGTGCTGTGTTAGAAGTACAGACCCTCCTAAGTAACACCATAAAAGTCATCAAAACAGCTATTAGCTTGTGCAGGACTTCTGCACCTCACAGCTGGAGAGAGCACTTACCCCATTACCAAGCAATGACAGCAAGAGATGACAAAGAAAAAAGGTAGAGCACATTAGTAAGTGTAATTGTACAAATACAACACAAGCTGTCTCCATATTCTCCAGCAGACATTTTCTGTTGATGTTTGGGACACAGGCTGCCTTGTAACTCTATATCATGCCCTTGGTGAAACTACTACAAGGGCTACATGATGCCTGGAACAGCTTTATAACACCCTAGCAGAAGTACTGAATGTTACACTTCCAATATATCTGTATTTAACACGAGCAGAGACTAAAGCTGCATTGTTAAGAATATGGAGACTGGCTTTGTGTGTGTGGCCTCCTTAAGAGCAGGAAGGCCACTTCATACCTTGCTGGCCAACTGGGATACCCCCACGGTGACCTCCTCAAATATTTTCCCCTCTTTCACCTATGTGAATCAAAGTATTAGTAATTAAGTCATAAACCAAGGGTACTACTGAAACCTTACGACAAACTTAGTTGTGCTTAACAGCTATAACAGAAAGCATAAAGACAAACCAAACCAAACTGAAAGTGACTCAAAATATAGGAAAACTAATGAAGTTAAGGAAATTACATATGAAGTCCATTGATCTATGATGGAGTGAACCTCAGTCTTCTGAAGTTTTTGAAGGGAATTATATAGAGTTTGAAGAAGCTGTCACTACACTAATGCTGAGCATATAAACACCAGTACAAAAGTATCTGTAAATGTGGCATGTTATAATTATATTAAACAAAAAGATTTAGTTTTGAGAGATTAAATGCTGTTATATCCATTACATCCTCTATTTTTTTATACATGCTTATTTAGATATTAAAACTTTGATCAACCAGAGTACAACTGAACTATTTGCTGTTTCCTCTTTGCTACCGCGCTGGTGTATGTAGGACAGAAGGACACACTGGCAATCCAGGCACTTGTGGCAGGAGGAAAAAGATCCCTCCCTAAGTGAGGATAATCAAGTTCTACAAGTAATTTACTAGTTCCAAAGTTACCTTTTCCTGTGCAGGTTTGAGAACATTTTCATTTAATGTCTGACCTAACTCTGATGCCTATTTAAAAGCAAAACAAAAACAAAGTCAGTTATAGTTTCCTTAAAAAAACACCCAACCAAGCACCAAAAAACCACAGCCAACATCTTCTGCAGGCTCATTTCTCAGCAGTATCTCCAAAAACACATGAAGGCTGCAAGAGGTTTGATTCAAACAAGCAGAATGAGCTGAAAAGCACACAAAGTACAGTGCTACAGGAAACAGTAAAAGAAAATACATGAAAACCAGATGTACACAGCAATAGGTTGTTGGAGATGCCCAGAGCCCAAGCAAAGTCTGACCTTGCACTGGAAGCAGAAGCAATGGATCAACCAGCAACAGCCTCAGAGATGGGGCCCTTGCTAATCCCTGCAGCTGAGTATTTGGAAGAACTGACCTCATCCACCCTTATTTCTCCTTATTAATGGGATTACTTGAAGAACTAGATCTTTTGGGCCAATTTTTCCTCCATTTTTCTGTCTTGTAATGCTGTATTGTCATCTTTAATAACAGCCCCATTGTTTCTAAGCAGTACAGAAGAGCAAAGGCTGTGACAGAAGATTTCTGTAATCTTTACTTAAAGCTCCAGGTTTGCAAGGAGAGAAAGCAATGAACTTCAGAAATCTATTGCAATGCAGAACAAGATGCATAAGGACGCTGTACTTATCTGAGTACACTCACAAGGACAGCAGGGTTTGCAAATGCTTCATATGAAATCATTCCTTTTCCTACTACCATAATAAGCCTTTGACTGATGTAAACTTTTCTTCAGAATTGCCATATTACACTGCTTACCTTCTGAATTAGCCCCATTGATCCAAAAGGCCCAGTATCCTTGTCTAAACATTAGCAGAGGCTGATGAAGCTTTGTTTCCTAAGGGTTTGTATCTTATTGCTAACATTGCTTAGGGTGTGTGAGCCTGCCTTCCAGTTCTTCCTTGGAATGGAGCACCTTGAACATCTTCCCTCCATAGACTCCATGGTGTCTAAGAAGCCTTTCTCTTTGCCACAGCGCTTCTAGGATCTCCCCTCTACCAAACCACCATTATCTCCAGCACTTCTACTCCTTACCAGTTCAAAAGTCATTTGAGAAGCCAAAGGCAAAAGGTAACCCCACTTCCACATCGTAAGAAATGTGAATGCAAATCACATAAGGCTTGTTGCCACTGGAAGGGAAGTGCTTAGGAAAAACAAGGGCATTTTTCACCTTTGAAAAATGCTTCAATCTGTTAAACTTGGCAAACTGTTTATGTTATGAAGAGTAATATACCAAGACTAAGAGCTAAGAGGAGTCATTATTAGAATTAGGAAAAATTCTTATACGATCCCATTTACTGAACCACATATTATAAATATGCAAAGATTTGGGTACAATTATGTTTCCATCTGTACCACTTCTTCACCTTTACTACTACTGAATTGAGGATAGCATCCTAACCACCATTACAAACACTGCGTAACAGGGCACTTAGTAAAGAGTTTGCCTTCACACATCACCCCAGGGGAGTTATTGGTATCCTGCATTCCTGGATGTGACATGCAAACAGAAATCCTGAAATCCTCTATCCAATTTAGCCTATTTTAAGTCAGTCTGAAGAACTATTATTGTATGAAACACACAACACTGTTCTGAACAGATTGGACTTAAGGCAAGAAAAGAAAAGACAGCTCAAGAGCAAATGCACATATTCAGCACAAACAGTGACAAGGAGCCCATGCACAAGAATATATGTGAGGGTGTTACCGGCTCTGGCTGCTGCTTGTAGCCCCAAAACTTTACCCAGACAGCAAAAGAGAAAGAGCAAGGAAGGTAGAAGCAGCTTTTAGCAAAAACTTGGCAGCATTTTTTCAGGCAAGTTAAGTAGCACGAACCTTTTCCACCTTCAACATCTACTGACAAGACAAAGAGTGAGTGTGTTTGCTCACTGGCCACCCAACAGACTTTTAAACAATGTATTACATCAAAAAGATGTTCAGTCTCTTCTACAGGGCAAAGGATCAGATGTTTCAGGAACAACGCTTAGGCATCAGTAACACAGCTTAGATTCTAGAGCACTGTGTTGCTGTGGTCCTTGTCAGTACATGTGATGAGCTTTCACACCTAATATTACATTTACATTTGCTCATAATACTAAAGAAAGAAGAGTTAGCTAAAAGGGAAGCTGCTGGAAGGAGTGAAAGAGGAAGATTTGTATAACACTTGGTATTTTACTTTAATACTTCAAAGTATTCCCCAAGCAGCGAATACTTTAAAGCTTCTAAGTGGCAAGTCTGGGTGTTTTCACAAGACAGTTTTTTTTGCAAAACATCCAAATTTGCTATCTGGAATATTAATATAATACTGCAAACATCTGTCTGAGCAGCAATACCTGCATTTCACACTGGTTTTGGGCAATACCATCCTACACAGAGCAGAAAACATGCCAGGCTAATGCTCTACAAGTTAATTTCATAACAATATTAAGCAGTTCATATTTGTTATACATTATTAGACTTTAGCAATGGCTTGCATTATATCACCAAGAAACCTACTTCAAGTTAGGGAACATTTAAGGTTCACAAACATAAAATAAGGGTATTTGAAGCTTGCAAGCATGCAAGAATTAAAGCATTTCATTGTACTGCCTCTCCAGTCCACCCAACAGTTACACACAGCAGAGCACCACTGTTTATTTCTTCCTTAATTTGGTCACTGCAGTTCCCATGCAATTCCCATGGAAATCAAAGCGAGAGCGTAAAATTACTGTACACTACAAAGGAAAGACACAGTGGTCTGTTCAGGTTCACATCTAAATCAATCAGTGCAGGCAAGTACATGACATTTAAAGCTAGTTACAGTCAATAAGAAAGAGCAAAATCTATAATCACCTTTTGACTTGCTTGAGATCCAAACCTGGTAGCCTGTGAAAAGGAGAAAATATATTCAAGTTTATGGAATAAACCCCTTGCTTTTTAAATACACACATGTAGAAGTGCTGCATGATCCTCTCCAAGATGAATGGAGCTTTGCCAGAATTTCACAGCAAACAGAGGAGATCCATATGATGACCTCTGGCATTCCAAATTGCTCTGGGGAAGCATTCTCAGCCTACAACAGGGCTAAGAAAAGCTCTTCAACACAGACTACACCTCTTTCCACCATCATCCAGTGGATGAATTAACAACATCCAGAAGCTTGAGAAACAGTTAAGGCAAAGATCTGCACTCAAAATGCATCTATTTTATATGCCACAGGCAAAGTTATACAAAGAGCAGAATTCATTTTGCACTGACAGTACTTCTAAAGACACATCACTACTAAAACACTAACAGAACCTCTGAGTTTACAAGGATTACACTGAAATACACTGTTTACTTACACCCTCTTTAGCAGCAGAGGCAATTTTGCTTGCTCCAGTTGTAAAACTGCTCCATCCCTTTAAAGAAAGTGAGAATGCTGTAAGTTATATGCATAACTTAAATATATATACATATATAATATAGTGAATAACCAGGTGCTCAGTATTACATGTTCTGCAATACAGCTTGTCATATAGTCATGAGAACTACTCACTAGGAACAGCAAAAATTATACTCTCACTTAACTGTAATACAGCAATGAACTTCCATTATTTGTGCAAATCCACTGTAATTTGAACAGATCTGAGTGCTTCAGATGATACTCTTCTATAAACGGCTACATGAAAAATATTCAGCCCCACTATAATCAAGGCCTTAAAATCGCACTGTAATATGTACCTGTGGTCACAAGAGGGCATTTTGATCATAAGTTTCACAGAGATTCTGTGTTCAACTAACAGTTGACAATAACTGGGATAATGAACAGTGACATCTCTCCTTTGCTGTCTTAGCACAGCTGAGATACGTTATAAATGTGTTTTCTAATCTGAATTCTCTGGTCTACAATCTATGACATAACTAGAAAATATTCAGCAGACCTGTACAAAGCATCCTATGGAATCACCTGGAATACTGGTCAAAGACTCAGGCACTACCTTTGTCTACTGTGCTCTAGAGAAATTACTGTCTTTTTTAAAAACAACAATGGAACCTAGTGCACGTATTTAGACAGATGAGGCTCCACAGAAATCTACTGGCCAAAAACCCCAGTAGAAAACCTTATTGTATTCCAAAGTGATTCCAAATCCCAAATACTGGTCAGTACTGCCACTCTGCAGCCTATCAAAGCCCCAGTATGTCCCCAACTCCCTCTGACTTTACCCTCATTTTCCTTCAACAATGCATCTTTCACTATCTCTGCTTCAATCATGACAACTGTTCAACCATATGCTGTTACCTCTTCACATGCTGTCACAAGCATTTCGAATGTTTTCATCACTGCTCAGAGTTCTTGGCACCGCTCTACACACACATCTCAGTTGTTTTCCACTGAACATACCTAATATAGCTAATCTATTTAGACCATTGCCAGCCTAACTGCTATTCCCAACAGGTAATTACTTTCATCTCTCCAAGCCTTGTTGAGTATCAGTTCTTAATCCATTTCTATAGCCTCATTTATTTATTTGTATGACAAATACCAGACACAATTCCTAAGCTTTGCTCAAGTTTCTCCCTTCATTTTTCCCTTTAAAATCCACCAGTATCATCTTCACTCTTTGAGAATACAACCAATACTCTGCATCTCTCCATATCTACCTGCAGCTTTCAGTTTCTCTTCTCCATTTATATCCTCTCATAACAGGGGATAGATGAAAATAGTAACTGAGGTCACTTAAAGCAATTCCTTACCGAGTACAGTGAGGACATAGCATTGTTCAGGAAGTCATCCTCTTTTTTTGGAGGGTTTACTGTGTTGCCAAACCCAACATAGCGATTCTCTTGGCCACTAGCACAAGGAAATGAATAAACAATGTCTGTATTAGCATGAGTTCATTAAAACCATTAAAAGAAAACTGAAAAGCATTAAAGAATGGCAATTGTTTAACAGGCTTTAAAATACACCTGGAAAAAAAAAGTCTTACAGTACCTAGCACCCAAAATACAAACCCACTCACTTCAAAGATGTAACAACAAGAAGGATCCATTGGGAGTCCTTGGAAATTAAAGTGTCCCCTAAGCAAGTTAATATGGATCAATAATTCCCAAGGTTTAACTATCAGAAGTCTGAGTAAATCTTAATAAAGTGATACATGAAAAAGGGAAAAGGAAAGAAAGAAGAAAACAGTTTTAGCTTTACAAATACTCCTGTTTAACTCAAAGACATACTATATACACTAAGAATTCCCTAGTTTGGAGCCCACCACAGTAATATTTTGAGTTACAAGCTCATTTTTAATGCTATTAGAACATTCTTGTCATACAAATGCATTAAGAGGCACTTTCATTCCTTTTACACTTTATCATATATTACCAACATATTTTTAATAGCAAACAAGATGTGTTATGTAGTGAATGAGGATCACAGTTGCATAGCTTTAGTACAACATTCATAACTTTGTTATGCTGGAGGGCCAGACACTCAAAAAATGAATAAATACTGCATTACCCTTGGTAGGAACTGACATCATCATTTAACCAGTCTTCAAAAGCCTTGTCAGAAGAGGCAGTTGCAGTCTGAGATTGTCCAGCATAACTACTGAAAGGAAAGATTTAAGAGTCAAACTGAGTAAAGCAATACTCCCTAGCTCAGTAATGCAGGGTGACACAGATCATCATCACCTAGGTGCAAAAGCGATTATTTCTTTCATCTATCAAGTAGGGAACTCTAATGCAACCAGTAAAAGCCATTGGAGTATTCGATGAATAAAGCAACAGTAAACCTGGACACAGACAATGCCACTCAGACTACAGCCAGCCCTTGGACTTGCTGGATGATGGCCAGGCATGAAGCACTTATCCTCTTGATTTACAACTGCTTTTATGTTGATTCTTTAGTACAGCAAATAACAAACACTACATGCAAAAGCAGAACAACAAAAGAGCTGTGGTCCAGCTTTGATGTGCCCATCAGTAATAAGCAGCATAAGGAAAGCTCTGCTACCTCATATTCTTTAACTTCAGCAGAAGGAATGCTTGTTCAGACAACACCATCAACGGAATAAAACCAGGAGACATTCAAACATCAGAACCATTTTGATCCTGCTGTGGCTATCACAATATGAGATAACAATACACACCGATGAGAAGGAGAAAGAGATGTTTTAGGCTGAGGTGGGGTCCAGTTCCTTGCAGGAGAAGTTTCAATCGACCATTCCTTTCCTTCAGCTACTGTAGCTACCTAGAATAGGTATGAAAATAACCAAGAATACTAGGTCAGAGTTTTGATACAAGTTATACACTGGTCCTGGAAAGCGGACAACGACAAGACATTTTTCACACTTCCTGCCATAGATCCATTAATTTGTTTTCACAAGAAACCAATTTGCCTCTGCATCTCTAGAAATGCTGAATTAAACACTGATTTTATTTCAGACAACTTCTTCAAACAAATGTGGTTTGAAGAGGAAAGATTAGATTAATAAAGAGAGGTAAGCACTAATCCCAGAATAATAATTGGAAGAGGTGGACTTACTCTAGCATAGGTCAGTAAAACACATATACCCATTTAAGTGTTCTCACTACCTCCTTTAAAGAAAGGCCCTGAACTTCATCCCTTCAGCCCATACTGCTTTTCCAATCCCAGTTATAACTTCAGCAAGTTCATATAAAACTTCCAAAGGCCTTGCCACAAAAACTCTACAGTTCCTCTTTTTGCATACTGAACAGCCTACAGCACACAACTTGGGAATTCTTGGCTTTCATCAAGCTACTCCACTTCAGCCAACCATCTCCTATTCATAGGAACTTCTAAAGATGCAAAGAGACAACACACACAACTTCAAAGCTGCAGGGATACCCCAGCAAGCACAGCATGTAACTTCTTACCACTTCCATGGCAGGGTCAGCATAAAAATAGAGTTATCTTTGCAAGTCTCTTTGTAAGCTGTTTGTAATTTTGTTTTTGGAAATTCTAAACCTCTACAAAATGATAATTCCACTACAATTACTGATTTATTTGGTTATGGGCCTGCCAGGGTTTGCCACGTTTGTTACTACATTTACCATTTTGTTACTACATGCACAAAAGATTTATCAGCAGCCACTTCAGATAAAATCCTACTGCTCGAGCAGTCAACTCTCTGTTGGGGGTTGGATTCACTGCAACAAACTGCAGCAGTGAAAAACTGAACCATCTCAGCTAAATGCAGAAAAGAAAGTTTCTAATTGAAGCTCTTACAAGAGCTGGGAAGAAGCACTCCAAGACTTCTCCATTTCAAGAACCACTGCAGAGGTTCAGGAGGCTGCTGCTTTCCCTCCTCCCTATTCAAAAACAAGTGCTTACAAAGTACTTGGATATCTGCAGAGAGCAGGGAATGAGGACGTGCACAACTGGACTTACCTGATCCCTAAAGAGAGCTGCAGCTTTGCTGTTGTACTTCTCTTGCATTGTCCAGCAGGGATCATAATCATCCTGAGACTCCAGGAACTCTCGGAATTTGCTGTTACCTCCAGCCTTCATCTTCTCCAGCTCAATATCCTTCCACTTGTCCATGGTTACAGAACGTACAAAACTGAAAAGTCAGGAGGGAGTGGTAGAAGTGAGACATCATCCTGAAGAAGACTTTTAACGCATATATCTTGATCAATTTCTTTCTTGTAGTCACTAAAGAAACACCTTTAGAATATCCTAATCTTAGCAATTTCATTTTTTCTTTCATGAAACATATGGAATATTTCCAAGCTCCTGTTTCCTGAGCAATTTCTAATTACTAATGAGCTTCAAATCCCCCCTTGAAAAGCAAAGCACGTACTTCTAAAAGCAAAGCATGGGCTTCTTTCTTTAGTGACTTCCCTCCTGGGTTTTCTTTCCCTCTCTCATTTGAGTAACTACCGCATGCTCTGCCCCTATTGTATCTATACACTGTGAGCCTGCAACACATCAACCGTTCTTATTCCACAGATTCCCACCTCAGCTGATACTATACACTTGTATACCCTTACAGACCTATTCTATAAACATGCTGTGACTTTTTGTACTCAACTCCCAAGCAGCTCTAATACTGCTTCACTTTTAATCTATAAAGATTATACAAGATTAAAAGAATAGAGTACAAGGACTAGTGCACTATTACCAACCCTCAAGCTGAAGCTAGAGACACTGCTTTCTGGAACTGGCCACGACATAGCTGTAGTGGTGGAGCACACACCCCAACTGATTATAGACAAGGCACTGAGAGTAAAGCTTGCTTTGGAGAGGAGCACAAACAAAACTGCCAGTGAAATGTTGGATTTGAGAAATCCTATAGTCTTTCTGTTCACAGCCACAGTGCATCCTGAGGGAACACAAGTCAGTCCATGTCTGGTTAAAAGGCTCACCTGAGGTGAACTCCCAAGCCTCGGTGTTTTCCTGAGCACTCCAGACAGATCCAAATTCCATAGGTCACACTCACCCACTGGGGGTTAAAGGCACCACACTCAAAACAGACCTGTGAGAGAGAAAATAGTTACCTCTAACACTCTCCCATCAACTCGTCCATGTGAAGTTTACACTGTGCAGTTCAAAACGTCAAATCATGAAAGCATTACACACAGAAAATCATTACAGAAAGGAGAGTTTTTAGTGCTTGGAAACACTTTCCCTGACAGCATAAGCTTCCTTCAGGTATTTATTTATGCTGCATAGAAAGATTCATTAACTTGCCTGACTTGAATTATAAAAATTACTGTGCCAGTATCAAAAACCAGTAAGGAAATACACATGAGCAAAGTGAAGTGAATGAGCAAAGAATTCAACTGGATTTCATTTCCATATTGCCTTGAAGGAGGGGAATGCAACCAAACTGAATTCTTGAGGTTTCCTTGGCAAAATAAAGATGCAACATTTAAAGTTCAGGACATTTATTCCGTCATGCTGCAGTTTGGCATCTAAACAGAGGTTTTTCTTAAAAATAGCTCTATTGCTCATACAGAGCAAGAAAGTTCTTACGACTGGAATCATCATTTAATATTTAATGCATTGATATAACTAAAACTGAACCTGCCCATGGGTTATCACATTTAAGGAAGTGTATAATCAATTACTTGAAATAGACCATTTTAATTAAGCTGTGCCCAAGGTGTTACTTGTTCAACAGACTCCAGGGGTTACAGCATTACTAGAACATCTGAAAGATCTATGCCAAATTCACAGTGATTTATAATGAGTGACAGCTACTGGAACTACAACAAATTGGTGACATCCAAATTGTTACCAGTAGTTAGCCATACTAGTGCTATCAAGATGATGGCTGTAATAGGCTGCAGCATACATCTGGAGCAGGTAAAAAGAAAACTTAATCTATAAAACAAATGTTAAGAAGATTATGTTTTTCTCACATTGTTCTCATCTTGTGCTCTGACTTCCTTCAGAACTTTCCTTGTTCTTGGACTCGCCATGATTCTATAAAGGGAGAAAAAGAAACCCAAATAACTAAGTCATCATCAAGGATTTGACACTGACAAGATGGTCAGTACCTTACAAGTGTATCTCTATGAAAAAGAACTAGCAGAAAAGGGGATGGGGGTGGCAAACACAGAAACTCTTCTAGGGAATATGTTGTATCAAAACGGATTCTTACTTGATGCTGCTCCCAGACACATCAGGTTACCAACTGAATTATAAGAAAACAAGGCAATTATTGGGACCTTTTACACAAAATAGAATTCCAGATCCAAGAGCCAGGTCTCACTGGTAGAACACATCACCTTACTCTGAATTTATAAAGCATGGATGGCAGCAGCAGGCAGCAGTGTCAAGCCATAGATAAAAGACTCCACTGAGACAAAAAACATGATTCACACACAATACACAGCCTGGAAAAACTTAAAGTACACAAACCACTCATGATTAAAGGAAATGCAGTGTAGAGAGCAACATAAGGCTGCAATTCAGATAAGAAATTAATTAATACTTCCAACTAATTTGATAGTACAATATGGAATCACAGATCCACAGACTGGTTTGGGTTGGAAGGGATCTTAAAGCTCATTCAGTTCCAATACCCTGCAATGGGCAGGGACACCTTCCACTGGAGGGTATTTAGATTAATTTGAAATAAGTACCTTCTTCCTTTTTACTTCCAGTCCACCTCTTCATTTCTACCCCAGAAAACAAACTTCTCAGCCATAGAAGTCTCCCAGCTGACTAGAAACAGCACCAACTATTAAATGTCAGCTTATTCATCAGTCAAGGTACTGAACAAAAAATAGCAGGTTGATGTTTACACCAAATACTGTTCTGAGAGGCAGAAATGCCTTTCTGAAAGCCTTTAGCTCACTCTGCTGCCTGACTAAACAGTCATGAGTCTTCAGTTATCAAGAGGATTCATAATCTTGCAATGATTTTGGGAGGTAAATGATTAAGCACTGCATACAACTGCTGTAACCCAGCAGGGGATGGTGGGAGAACACACCTTTACTTAGAAAAGGAAGGTTGTTTTAGGAAGAAAATCGCTACAGATAAGAAAACATCCCATTAGTAGGAATGTGACCCATTCTTTGACAATTCTAAAGCAGAATTCCAGGAACCACAACCACAGCAGTACATACAGAAAATTATATGTACCACCAGCTCAGCCAATGCAATTCAGAAAGGAATCAACATTGTAACTATGTATTATCCCTGTTAGAAGCTAAACTTATTTGCTGCCTTTTATCCAAAGCACTTCCTCGTTCCCGAACATCTTGCTGACAACTACTTCATTCTGTATTATTTAAGAGAGAGTGTTTTCACTGATGTTTAGAATATGCTTCCTTTCAATCTTAGCTCATTTGTGTTAGACAGAAACAGGCAAGTGGCACAGACTGAAAGGGTTACTGTAATTAAAGGTAAAACCTTCCAGTCATCCTGTACCACATTAAAACTGAACAGAATTATCAAATGCAATTTGGGCAACTTCCAGAAAAGGGAAATAAAAGTGTGGCAAGAAACCCTTTGTATCATGTATCACTTTCTCCCATAGCATTCCAATACTTTCATTTAATTTTACATAACTTATTCATGTGCATATAAGGAGGGAGATCACACTACACATAAAATGTGTTGGCTCATATCCTACAAAGGCCACAGACACATTAATTGAGGTCCACATCTTCAACTCCTCTATCTGTCACTGTCAGTATAAGGGAAAAATCTTCCCCAGCAGTACAGAAATGAATAACTCAGCATTAGCAGCCAGAGACACAACTGTGAACACTTTGGACCCTCCTCTTTGCCACATTTGTTACATTCTCTTTGCATGCCAACTCTCCTTTCTCAGGGATGTGTTTCCCCAGCAACTTGTAAGCTACAGCCAAGCTACAAGGCCACTCTCTGGCTGGCTGCTCACTCCCCTTCCCACTATCTTTCCTTTACCGTTCTTTCTCCTTTTCCACAGATTTGTATTCAGGATTAACAGAGGCAGACGATATGCAAAGGCCTTGCAGCCTCACTGGCACAGGATCATGGCTACAGCTGAACAGGAAAGCCTTACCACTCCAATTCTGCATGAGCTAGGAATTCCATCCTACAACAGCCAATACACACATCACCTCAATGCTTACAGACACCCCGAGTTCCAGATGTCCAACTTCAAACTGACAAAGGAAGTGATTCCCTTTGGGCCTGCAGGAACTGCTTATTTTGATAAAGCCTTTTACAAGAAAGACATTAGCCAACTGAACACAAAACCCATTCCAGATGCACCAAAGTCCCTGATCAAACCACATATGTCTGGTGGGAAGGCAGAGCTTCACCCACACCACATCATCCAAGAAAAGGAGGGGGTAACTATACCCACCAGCTTCTCACACCCTTCTCTCCACCACGAAAGCATCTGGAAATGAAGGACAGGGAAAAAGTCACACTCTAACCTTTCTAACAGGTTTCTTTACACGTACAGAGCGTATTTTCAACTATATTTGCCCACAAACTTGTAAGTGATCAGTCCATCAGAGTTTACCACCCAAAAGCTGAGCCTTTGCAGCTAACTGGGCACACAGCCACCGTGCTGTTTAAGTTTCAGGGGTAAATACTTCAGCAACAACTGTTCAGAGACCTTAAACATCCGTTGTTTAAATCTGATGTAAATGGACATCAACAGCAAAGAAAATGTTTAGTTTAGGAAGAAGTTTTCATTGAAGAATATCAATATTTTAAAATAAAATATAACCATTTTAAAGTGTTCCTGGGTGGAAACTTAAGAGCTTCACACACCACACTGGTGGAAACTGCCATCTCACACTCCTACTTCCTCAACAATCAGTTTCCAGAGAAAAAAACAGGCAGGATGAGTTTCCATGTTAGGAATGCTAAAAGCAGGCAAAAAGGCAGAAGTGGCACTTTTAAGTGGAAATGAGGTAGAAAAGGACTTTGCTCCTCTGCTTCAACAGGGAACTCACACGGCAGGAGATTCACGCAGCCAGCCTGTAGAGAGCTCTAGATGCAGTGCATGAAGATGAAGCGGGTGACGTGGTCTGTGTGGCTTCGTGGTCCTCAAGGCTCCCTCTGCACCTCACCCCGGCAAAGAAAGGCCGCAGGGGCCTCGACCCCAAACGCTGCCGCTCACCTCCACCCGAGCAAGGAATGTTCAAGCTCCAATACACATCAGAGACCATTATATCTTTTACACTCACGCAGGTGCGGACACGTCGCCTTACCGAGAGTCACACCGGGAGCACAGAAGGGCTGTTTCACGCACACCCGCGACACCGGGAGCCGAGCCGAGTCCTGGGGGCCTCCCTCAGCACATGGCCGGGCGCCGTGCGAGCACACCGGCCTCTGCTTCTACAGAACAGCAAATACAGGGATAGAACGGGACCGGGGGAGGGGGGGGAAGGCCGCGGTGGAGCCGCTCGGGCCTCGCCCCGCCCCGCCAGCCAGGCACCGGCAGCTCCCGCCTCCCCCGTGCCTGTGACAGCCCGCGGGGGCTCCGCCGAAGCGGGCCCGGCGCTGAGGCGGGGCTGGCGCGGAGGAAACCGGCCCCGGAGCCACCGCAAGGGAGCGGCGGGGCCCGGGAACGCACCCTCGGTCCTGACGCGGCGCCACCGGCTCCGGTCCCGGTTCCGCCCCGCGCCTCACGGCGCAGCCGCGGCCGGTGACGTTGCAGGGCCGCGGGGCATTGTGGGTGCCGGGGTTAACCCCCTGCGGCCCGGCCCGACCCCTTCACTGGAGGAGCTTGCTCCAAGCCCTGCCAGGGATGGGGCAGCCACAGCTTCTCTGGGCACCCTGTGCCAGCGCCTCAGCACCCTCACAGGGAAGAGCTTCTGCCTAAGAGCTCAGCTCAGTCTCCCCTCGGGCAGGTTCAAGCCATTCCCCTTGCCCTGTCCCTGCAGGCCAATGTAAAATCACTGGTTTAGCTCTGAACAAAGGTTGCCCATAAAGGTGAATTATATCAAATTATGGGGTCTTTTCCAGCCGGTTCTTCCCATGAGCTGATAGGGTTTGCAGCGGAGGCCATGGGCTGCTTTGGCTCTGAGCAAGTCTGAAACCACAGCCTATTCCAGGGACAGCACCCATCCATCCATCATTCCCTAGGGATGCGCCCCAATGGGGTGAAAGGGCCAGAAAGGGGACCCGGAGCTGCTCTACAGGGCTTGGCATCATGTACCAAGGGAGCGCATTTGTTCTACCTCTGATATCTTTTTAGTCATCAACTGAGACACAGAGCAAGGCTTCAGCGTTTACATACGAATCCCATAGAGACAATATTCTGCGCACTTCAGTGCAACTCCTAGTCTGAGCTTTGCTCTTATTAAGTAGGCTATTATCTTACTATCAGCACAGGGAGATTAACGGGAGCCATTTTCATTACCATTAATGGTAGCTACACGCATAACCCCCTTGCATCAAGGGGAAGATAATGGGCCTTTAAATGTGTGAAGGACAGAGGGAAGGGAAAGAACTATAAAGCAAACACGGCTTAAATCATTTGCTTTTCCTGTTAAGGAGAAAGTGGTCTCTGCTGATAAGCACCATTATTTCCTGGTAAACACAAGCCAGTGGGCAATGAGGTTCCCATTATAGAGATGCTGTGTTAGTGTCTAATGAGAATATTAATCTGCTTTTCTGTATATATTGATAGTGCAGTGATTGGTGCTAATGGCTGTTCTGCAGCGGTCTGGAAGGGTGCGTGTTGCATGTTGTGCTCTCAGCCTTGGGAGCAGTGTCAGGAGCTTATTTCATCCATTGGGGTCAGGGCTAAGAGACTGCTGCCTCCCATGGTCTTAATATACCCAGCATGCATGTTCACATTCTGAAGCACGGAAGCTTCGCCTGGGATCAGGATTGCTGTCACCAAAAATAGTGCTTCTGTTTTCACTATAATTTACCCTAAATCAGGAGTTATCATTAAGACGTACAAACAGCAGCAAAACCCTGCATGAGTGGAGGCTGCAGGATGGGACAATCTGGCTTTCAATAGGAATGAAGGGAAGCCGCAAACATTTGCCTTTCTTAGCAAGCACATAAATACATGCCATTCCCAAGCAAGTCCAGTTTGCTCGGTTCCCGGAATCTGGGATAGGTGCATAGCTCTCTTCCCATCTCTGCAATGTGTGACAAATGTTCATTTGGCACAGACAATGCCAACAAGAAACATCGACCGACCATTCTGTTCCCTACTTCTCTCCTTTCTCTAGTTATGAATTTATTCCAGCTCAAAACTAAATTACATCTAATTTTAGCACAATTGCCATTGTTATAATTGTTATGCCCACTCTCAAGCACATATGAAATGTGAAGATAAGGGTAAAACAATAAAACATGAGGCAGGAATAGTTTTCCATCTTGAGATTTTCCAGATAGAATTCTGCTTGGCTATGTTGTGGTTTAAACTCAGTCACGCAGCCGCCCTCTCACTCCCCCCATTTCTCCCCCTGGGTCCCAGAGGGATGGGGAGGAGAACTGAAAGCATATAACTCCCACAGGTTGAGATAAGAGCAGTCCAGTAACTGAGGTATAGCACAAATCACTACTGCCACCACCAATCATAATGATAAGGGAAATAACCAGGGAAGAGTATACAACCGCTCACCACTCGTCAACTGATACCCAGCCCAACCCAGCAGTGATCTCACCTTTCCGGGTAACTGCCCCCAGTTTATATAGTGGGCATGACGTGCTGCGGTATGGAATACCTCTTTGGTCAGTTTGGGTCAGGTGTCCTGTCTTTGCTTCCTCCTGGCTTCCCTCCTCCCTGGCAGAGCATGAGACTCAGAAAGTCCTTGGTCAGACTAAACATTACTGAGCAACAACTAAAACCATCGGTGTTATCAGCGCTGTGCCCAGGCTGAAGGGCAAACCCACAGCGCTGCACCAGCTACCAAGAAGGAGAAAAATGACTGCTACTGCTGAACCCAGGACAGTACGGAAGGATAATGCTCCAAAGTGGAAAGGGTGGTCCAGTTTGAGAGCATAGAAAACAATCAGAGCCCAATTCTGCACAGATTTCATGAATATGTGCATTGTAATTGCAGTGAAAAAGACTGATGGCAAGTGAAAGCCTATTAAGATAACCAACCTAGTGTGTGATTTTGCTTATAAGTTAATTATTTGGAATGATGACTTTGACTTATGATGACTTTGACTTATTATATGACTTATATTTGGTAAAAATACCCAAGAAGTTTCTGCAGCAGGATTTAAACCAAAGAACATTCTTTTGAACTTGTAACTCTTCTACAGAATTCCCAAACCCTTTCTAACCTATTAATAAGACTTGATTTTGGCTATTAAATAGTCTAATAAATAAAGTGGCATTACCACTCAGTTTAAATTGCACAAAATACCCGAAAACCTCTCTTCTAGGAGAGCTGCCAGCATGAGCTTCTAATAGTAAAGGAGAAAGAGAAACAGCAACCCCCTATTTTGACTTGCTTATTGACACCTATGTGGGCTGAATACATCACTCAGTTCTAGCAGCGCTTGTCATGGACTGAGGAGCTGTAGGGTTTTATTGCCTTCTTCCTTCCCAACACAGCTGAGATTAGCCACTACATCAGAGTAATGTGCAGGATGTCACAACACTTAAATTGAGGAGGAACAAAAGGAAATGTAAAGACTCTTGTTAGATAAATCTATTTAATAAATCTGAATAGTGAGGAGCAAGGAATGGACCTGTTTGCATGATAAATGTCACCATTCAAGTCCCGCGTTGTCATTACCTATGATGTATGTAACTGTAACCGTGTGAATAATAATACCTCCCCCCAGCTCAGCCCTTTTACCTCCATGAATAGAATAGTCCTGTTAATTGATGGGAATGTGATAACACCCTTTGCTTGGAGGGGTTTGTGCTGTCTCTGTGTCACATGTTCTGAGTAGCACCCTGTGTGAGCAGGCTGTCACCCGAGCCACCAAAGACTCCATCTCATTCTCAACTTCATGGCCTTGAGAACTCAGAATGACTTCAGGGTTTGTTTTATTCTTGTAAGTCTCAAGAGAAGCTCATTCCTACCAATGTTGTGTCACATAAAATCATCATTAGGAAAGTAATATGTGAAATATCTCCTGCCATGGCATGAAGCATCACTTGTTACTAAATGTTTCTTTTTAATTTTGCTGAATAAATAAGATTTATTTTTATTAAATACAGCATCCAAGTCTATTGATATTCATTGCATTTGGCAGCCACAGCACAGCAGCGCTACCCAGCTGCAATGAATATTGCCATTAGGTTGTAGAAATACCACATGCACTTCATAAAATAATCCTATCCCTCTTGTTGCACAAGGGAACATTACTTTTTGCTTCCTTTTCAGCTGAGAAACCCATGTATAAGGGCTTTTCTGATACATGTCTGCAGTTCACTTGGCACTAGCCAAATCTGAAACTACATCTAATTACCTGGAGCAGTAATTATGAGCAATTACCAGTGAGACAAACAGCCCTACTGGTGTTCAAGCAAGAGAAACTAGGAGGGAGTTTAGTTCTACAGCTTACAAGGAGTCCTGCCTATGCTATGGATTCACTGGCACTGATTTTCTCATCCAGCCCTTCAAACCACAGACAGGATCAGGACAGTAATCAACCCCTGTCCTTCCACTGCATATTGATAGGAAAATCACTGCTGGTTTGAGCTCCACTCTGCAGCTGGGAGTGCGCTTTGATGGGTTTCTACTGTCAATCAGGTTATGAAGACATCCTTTTGCTATGTTTCTCCACTTCATAGCTGGAAAATCTTAAGCAGATGCTCGTATTTGGAGACCCCATCAAACCTTCTACCTAGTCTTTTTGTTAGGAATGAGATAAAATGTGGAAAGGTTTTATATGAGACAGGAAGAAGCTTTTCTTCTGATATTTAACCAGCAAGCAGACAAGCAAAAGCTTTCGTTTAACAAGCAGTGGTTACTTAATTCTGTGTTAATGTCTCATACATGTGTAGCACATCACGGTTTGTACCATTGTCAATCAAAGCCGTCAGAAGTGGCCATCTAGCATGGTCCGGGCAGGGTGAAAAAGCCTGGAAGTGCTGCCAGCTGCCTGTGTGTACCCTGTGGATACTCAGAATGAACTTTGGGAGCCTGCTTCAAGTGGCTTATTTCCAAGGCAATTAAGTCTTTCTAAAGCAAATGGGTGTAACAACCGCTCCTGCAGCCTGGTGGCATCTGACACTGCTGACTTCTTAATGCATATTAGCCCGCACTGGCTGGGATTAAAAAGGGCATCACTGAAAACATGGCAGAGAAGCAGCTCTGGATTGCATGTGCATGGTTATGAGTAGCTTCTAACTGCACGTTTCATACCTGCACTGGGGCTGTGCTTGTATATGCTGGCTCCCGACACCATACACTCGTGCATACACTGCTGTAGGTGTCCTTCAGAAGACACTCTAAAAGAAACTTGCTATTGATTCCTTCTCCATCACATCACGTGAGACTTGTTAAATGGGCTTGAGGGAGTTCATAACCATTTGAGAGGAAAAAAAAGTTCCTAAGGAAATGGGGAAACAGCTTGGCCAATTGAGAGCACCCTGAGCTATGAACTGGAGACTGCTCTCACCCTTGGGGCTCTTTTCTTTTTGGTCCTATCATTTGAGAAATG